TTTTTCTAAAGAAGAAAATTATATTTTATATTATATTAAATTAATTATTTTTAGTTTGTTTCGAATCTTAAAAGTTTTATGGAGTCAGTTCCTTTTTTTTGTATTTGTATTTTACAGGGAAGATGAAAAAGAAAAACGATGCAATAAAGAATAATTAAATAATTTAAAATAAGTAAAACTCTTGCTAACTGCTAAATGCTAACCCAGTTGCAATTATTAAAAGTAAAGTAAATTACCTCAACAACAGATTATTATTAAGTCACAAATAAATACATTTTGATATTTGAGTTTTTAAAATAAAAATAAAAAATAAAAACGTCTATTTCAGTTGAGGAGTTTATGTTTTAAAATGAAAATTAAATAACTAAGACACCCGGATGGTTCAGGCTCATGGTCCAGACCCGGACCCCGATCAGTACCTGTCCCTGGTTCAGCACCATGATGCGGTCTGAGGCGAGGACGGTGTGCAGGCGGTGGGCGATGGTCAGGGTGGTGCAGTCCTGAAACGAACTCCTGATGGTCTCCTGAATCAGAGCGTCCGTCTCTGCGTCCATGGCTGCTGTCGCCTCGTCCAGGATCAGGACCTGAGGGGACAGAACTGACCAATCAGGGGACAGAACCCGGGAGGAAGAGGAGGGGTTTATTGTCTGTGTCTCACCTTGCACTGCCTCAGCAGAGCTCTGGCAACACACAGCAGCTGTCTCTCTCCCACAGAGAAGTTCTCTCCGTTCTCCACCACCTCCGAGTCCAACTTCAGGGGCAGCTGGGACACCTGGTGGACAGGTAGACAGTAAACAGGTAAACAGGTGGACAGGTGGACAGGTGGACAGGTAGACAGATGGACAGGTGGACAGGTAGACAGGTGGACAGTGGACAGGTGGACAGTGGACAGGTAGACAGGTGGACAGTGGACAGGTGGACAGTGGACAGGTGGACAGTGTTTGTCATGTGTTATGTTTCATACATGAATTTGCTGCAGACGGTTTGTACTCACACACTCCTTCATGTGACTCCTCTGCAGAGCCTTCCAGATCTGCTCCTCACTGTTCTGGTTAAAGGGGTCCAGATTGGACCTGGAAACACAAACAAACTCATCTGATCTGAACTAATCTCACATTATGTCACAGAAGACACTCATTGAGTTTCCTGCTTCTGAGGAGCTGCAAATATCAGATGTACTCTCCTACCGGACTGTCCCACTGAACAGGACCGGGTCCTGGGGGATGATGGACAGCTTGCTGCGGAGGTCGGCCAGTCCGATGTCACTGATGTCGATGCCGTCGATCAGGATGGATCCTCCACAGCGCTCCACCAGCCTGAACAAAACCACGCCCAGAGACGACTTCCCTGCACACAGACACACAAGATGACTCAGATCAGTCAAACCCATGACCTGTACAGAACCCCGAACCCTGTCCTACCTGATCCGGTCCTGCCGACAATGCCGATTTTCTCTTTGGGCCGGATTGTGCAGGAGATCTTGTTGAGAACCAGAGGGAGGTTCTCCTGGTACCTCATCTCCACCTCCCTGAGCACCAGCTCCCCCTCCTGGGGCCAATCAGCTGGAGGAGCACAACCTTTGACCCTGGCCGGGGCCTCCTGGGACAGGGACTGAGACACAGAGAGAATAGTGATTACATTATGATGAACTGACCCAACATGCACTAAATTCTGACAGGAAGTTGGATTAACCAGTCAGCTTGTTGATGCTGAATGTGGTCCTCAGCTCCTCTGTGGCCTCTTTTCCACCCAAATTAGTTCTGGTTCTTGCACCGGTTCCCTTCAAGATTCTTGGAACCTTTGTGCTATCTAGTAAACTGGCCCTTGTTTCCACCAGTATTGAGCAAAACTATCGTAATCAAGGATGCGTCAACAACAGAGGGTGTTGCACAATGACCTGTAGAATATGTTGGTTCCCAAAGACCAACCTGATATTTTGCCAGCGGTACCCACTTTCAGGTCCGAACCAATTTATTTTGGGTCGAAATGATCAAAAGTAGGTGCTTGAACGATGTAGCCGGTCCCCTGTTGGTAGATTACGCCTACAAGAGCCTCTACACAATACATTTTCTGTCTGATTGACAATTTAAACACTTGGTGTGGATGTGGTTGCTAGAAAAGCTGTACAGGTGAATGTTAACTAGTGCAACCAGCAGGAACAGAACCTGTTCCCAGTACCTGGATATAGTGATGGATTCTCTCCACAGAAGTGAAGCGAGCTTCAGTCTCAGAGGCCAAACGCACTGTGAACTGGAACAACCCTGTCAACTGAAAGAGGGACAGACAGTTAATGTTTGGGTCTAAAGCTCTGCTGACAACGCCAACAGGAAGAGGCCTTTGGGTTACCTGGACAGCGTAGGAGATGGCGAGGCCGGCGTAGGCTGGAGATATCTTCCCGTGCATCAGGACCATCATCAGGGCGGTGATGCTGATCAGAGCCACGCTGATGACGTCCAGACGCACCGCCAGCCAGCGCATCGCACAGCTGAACAGGTAGAACGGAGCCTGGTTCTGGTCCAGCAGAACCTGGTACCTGAAAACAATGACATTTTCAGACTCGGCATGAGGTCTAATCCTGGATCATACCCTGGGTTTTATGGTTCCAACCCTGACCTGGTGAGGAAGTCGCGGCCCCTGTCGTAGGCCTGCAGGGTGGTCAGGCCCTGGATGCTGGAGGTGATGTGGGACATGAAGGGCGACATCGTCACGTTGTCCAGGCGCTTCAGCTCCCGGATGAAGACCCTGGAGACGCTGTGGAGCGCTGCGAACAGCAACACCAGGGGACCCACCGCTACCAGGAACCAAGGGAAAACACAGCTGATGATGCCCAGGCAGAAGAAGACCAGGATCACGTTCTGGATGAACATCTCAGCCTGGAAGGGCAGACGAGTGTCGACTGGAGGGAGAACAGTAACACGTTATTGCTAATGGCTCCACGACTCGGCCAGATACCGATCTCAGACTGTGGTGTGGTCCCGTCCTTTACCTTCATCCATGTCCTTGGAGAAGCGGTTGAGGATTCGCGCTGTGGGCGTCGTGTCGAAGAACTTCATGGGGCAGCGGAGGATCTTGTGGAAGAGCAGGTCGTGCAGCTTAGAAGAGGCACGCAGAGTTCCCTGCAAGACACAACCAAGATCCAACACCACTCTGAAGCTCATTGGACGACCTAATGTGTGTCCGATATCAGTATCAATCACCCTTTCCTCCATTGTCCTCTCAGACTGGTCACTGATTACAAATAACAACAGATTCTAGAGACATGCTCATGTAAAGACTAACGTGGACTAAATAATATTTTTCTGTTTTCGTGGTCTTACAGGTCAGGAAGTCGTTAGGATCCTGTGTGACATGCTGACCTTGACGAAGGCAATTCCTCTGATGAGTTTGAAGAGCAGCATGACTCCCATGGAGGAGGCGTAGACAGTGGCGTAGTGTTGCATCATGGGATTGTCCTTAATACTGATGCTCACTGCCGAGCTGTTGCTCCGAGTTACTGTGGTGTTCTGGAGGAGGAGGAAGGGAGGAGGAGGAAGAAAAAGATTTACTAGAGGAGGAGGTGTAAAGGAGGAGGTGATGAGGTGATGAGGAGAAGGAGGTGATAAGGAGGAGAAGGAGGAAGAAAAAGAGTTACTAGAGGAGGAGGTGATGAGGAGTTGATGAGGAGGAGGAGGTGATTAAGGAGGAAGGGTGATGAGGAGATGAGGAAGGAGGTAATGAGGAGGTGATGAGGGTGATGAGGAGGAGGTGATGAGGAGGAGGTGATGAGGAGATGATGAGGAGATGATGAGGAGGAGGTAATGAGGAGGTGATGAGGAGGAGGTAATGAGGAGGTGATGAGGTGATGAGGAGGATGAGATGATGAGGAGGAGGTGATGAGGAGATGATGAGGAGGAGGTATCTGACCCCGCTGCCCTGGTTGATCCAGTAGCTGAGCCACCACTGGCAGAAGGCGGAGCTCCCCACATTGAGGACGAACAGAGCCAGGATCACCAGACAAGAGGCGGAGCCACCATACGCCGCCATGTAGAGGCGAAACACGGGCCAGGCCACGCCCCCACTGGGCTGCTCCTCCCCTTTAATGTCACATGACCAAATACGGTAAAAAACAGTAGAGCAGGACCATAAAGGTGATGTGTGCAAACACGGCCGACCTGCTTCTCCATATTTATTTCTTATTTGTGCAAAACAATCAATCAAACTAATTAATGCAATTATTAAAAATAGACAAATTAAAGGAATTTCCATTACAGAAATTCTTATTCACCAATTTGCTGACGACTCTCCCTTATTCTATAAAAATGTTACAGAAAAATAATTTTCATATTCAGAGATTAATATTAGTAAGAATAAAGATGAACAATGCTCTGCAACCAATAATAAGTAATTAATAACTTTTTGATAAAAAAACATTAATATAATACAAATAATACACTTTCATCAAAATTAACAAAATACTGTTTCCTCAAATCTAAATATTCTAATTTAAAAACTGTAATTTTTATTACTAATTAAATTAAAATATTATAATATATAATAATATAATATATAATAATTTAATATAATATAAAAAAATTATAATAATATAAAATAAAATAAAATATAATAATATAATATAATATAATATAAGGTGTTTGGTGTTACCGTTATCTTTGACGACTGGTGCGTTCTTCTTCACTGATCCTGGTTTAATATCTGCTGGTTTCCTCTGAGAACCACCGTTGTTTTTACTGGGAGCCTGAAGCAGACAGACAGACAGACAGTTATTAAGACAAGAAAGAAAAGACAGACAAACACACAAACAGGGAGACAGACAGACAGACAGACAGACAAACAGGTACCTCTATGTAAGGAGTGTCTCCCAGCTGGAAGTGGTTGAACATGGCGGCGTAGTCTCTGTTCAGTTTCATCAGGTTGTCATGGTTACCCTGCTCCACTATACTGCCCTCCCTCATCAGAATGACATCATCACAGTCCACCAGGTACTACACGCACAAACACATTGAGGTTATCTCCGCAGCCGCCGTTTGCAGTGAAGCGTACCTTCACCTGTCCAGATAGGCTTTACCTGCAGCTGGTGGGTGACGAAGATGACAGTCTTGTGGGAAAGCTGCTTCCTGATGGCGTTGCGGAAGACGTGGTTGGCCACGTGGGCATCGAGGGCGCTGAGCGGGTCGTCCAGGATGTAAACGTCGCGGTCGCTGTAGAGGGCGCGGGCCAAGCTGATTCGCTGGCGCTGCCCGCCACTCAGGTTGGCACCACGCTCGCCGATCTGATGGAAATATGAACGTCTTTAAAAAGCTGTTTATACATTAATCTGTCAGAGGTTGGTCAGAACTAGAATTAAACAGTATTAAAGTGGGTTTAACAATTCATCGGAGGGTAATGTCCAACCCGATACCCTGGGTTCTCAGACGTGTGTAGAACAAGAAGAAGGGCCAGTCCCCTTCTCATGCACATGCACATGTTGCAGTGAGAAAGCTGACAGCATCTCGCTTGCATGGCAGCTGTGAGGGTCTCTGTTGTTAATAAATAGAACAATTTGTATCGGGGCAAGTAAAAGTTGACTTGGGGCAACTAGATTTCTGACCCAGGTCCAATCCTTCCCGGGGGGGACCCTAACAGTTGGAGCACAACCTCCGGTATCACCCCCATTCCACAGACAGTGTCTCTCACCGTCACACTTCCCTTTTACCAAAGAGTCTAAAGTAAAAACAGGAAGTGATGTCACCTCTGTAAGGTCAGCGTTGGGCAGCAGGGCGAGGTCTGGTCTGAGACAGCAGGCACTCAGCACGGACTGATACCTTCAAACAGACAACCAGAAGTCAGTCAGTCCGTCCTCATAGACCGGGCCGATAGTTCCTCCAGACGTCCTTTCTCACCTGTCCTCCTGGTACTCCTGCCCAAACAAGATGTTGTCTCTCAGGGTTGCGTTCAGGATCCAGGCCTGCTGAGCCACGTAGGCCAACCTTCCTCTGACGGCGACGCTGCCCTCCAACAGAGTCATCTGCCAATACACCGATCAATAATCAATACCAGTCATTCCAGCAGCAGCTGTAGGAGGATACTGATTATACAGGAAGTAACGTCACCTGTCCTAAGATGGCGGAGATCAGGGAGGTTTTCCCACTGCCGACGCTTCCACAGACACCGAGCAGCTTCCCCTGTACAGACAGACAGACAGACAGACAGGCAGACAGACAGGTAGACAGACAGGTAGACAGGCAGACAGACAGGTAGACAGACAGACAGGTAAACAGACAGGCAGACAGGCAGGCAGACAGACAGACAGACAGGCAGGCAGACAGGCAGACAGGCAGACAGGCAGACAGACAGACAGACAGACAGACAGGCATTAGTGATACATGATGTTCACTCTCACACAGGTGTATTTGGACCTGGTTCTTGGACCCAGGTAGGTCCAGTACCTGCTCCACACTCAGGCTGATGCAGTGCAGGGTGCTCTGAAGTCGCTGGGAGACCGGAGGGACAGACAGGAGGGGAGGACAGGTTTCCTCCTGCCCCTCTTCCTCCTCTTGACTCAAGGCTACATCTCCTCCTCCTCCCAGCAGGGAGCCGGTCACCTCCTCCTGCAGACCCACTCTGTCTCTGCACCTGAAAGTCACCACACACTTCAGGAACACAACACTAGCTAACGTTAGCTTATAAATG